AGAAATATGTTTTTCTTCTTGTTCCTACAGTTTGATTTTCACTGTGCAGAATGATGTATGTGCAGAGTTTGACACTAGAAGGATGGTTTGTGCCAAATTCATTTCAAAGTATTTCTTGAAACAGGCAAGTAAATTGTCTCTTTCAGTCTGATTAAGACTTGAACTCCTAAGCCTGACGTCTGCAAGGAAATGTGTGTTTGCATGTTTGACACCAAGATGGTTTTCCAGCTGTTGTGAAATAAAGGGTACCAAAGGATTTGAATGAAAAACAACACATAACTCTCATTTTAGCACCATCCTTTTCTCATTATATCACTGGATTGTTTTTTGTAATAAAACTGTTGGACTTGCGTTCTATGTTATAAATCCTTTGATGTGACTCAGGATTTTGTCTTCTTCAAGAGCGTCGTAGTCACAGAGCCAGCAGCTCTCGAGTCCTAAGCCTCGCCAGATGGAAGGACATCGGTATAAGCCTATAGCAGACTGTAAGGATCTAGATGACCTCATCTGCAGATTTCAAATGATCCAAAAGTAATATGTGCAAATGCAATTAGCTATTGTGGAGTAGTCTCATCTCTGACTGACTTTACATTAACCTCATATTACACAGCACAGTATGCATTTTTGTCATCTGTGAGATATAGATCTCAAGAGTGGAAACCCACAAAATAATGTTCATGAACATTCACACTTGCTCTGGTGTAGCGGATGGGTGTGATGCAAGATCTTAATAAGGATGATGACATTAGAAAACAAGTTCAAATCAGCTACTTGATGCAATACTCTAGCAGAAAACCATTTCATAGCACAACAACAATAAGAGCTACAATATGCATCAGAATGAGCAAATAAATGAATAGAGGAATCAGAGGGAGATATGCTGTGTTGGCTAAATATGAGAACAAGCTATGACAATTCAGCTAAATGTTTCTTTCCTGCTTAAATAATTTGCCTAAATAATAGTGTAAACAATGGAGAAGTTTTTTTGCGATATGGCAAAGATCTGACTTGGATTGAAACATTCTCTATTTCAATTCCTTGGCTTGGAGTCAGTGTGTGGGAACTGAGAATATTTTGTCATTTCATTCGTGGAGCTCACATGGAAGAACTTTACAGTAGCAACATGTCTTTCCAGAATTAGTGTCCCTATTACTCTTAAGTTCTATTCACCTCCATTGTATTGGAGTGGAAGCAGGATATCTCAAAACCGGGACAAATTAAACCGAAACTACTCGCATGGTTGAATTATATTAGCTGTAACAAAGAAAATAATGTTTTTTTTGTGTGTATTTTGGTGTAAAAAGACATTTAAGATATATATATGTATAATAGACTTACAAGAAAAAGAAAGAAGTGAGTTGTTTGAATTAAACATCCTTTAACTAAATTACTTTAATTAAACATAAACAGAAATGTGTGAAAAGTTCAATCTAGACCAAAATGTTAAAAGTTGCTGTAGTCAATATTTGTTTGTAAAAGAAGCATTAAATCATTCCGACAGCCATCACCTATGTAGAGTGTTCAGTCAAGGGTCTCCCAGTGCCTCCTTTCTG